AATAGCAAACAGCCAGCGAGGGCAAACTCACTGAAGAGTGGGGGTGAGACCACTGCCAGTTTGGGTAGCAGCAGGCGTCGCAGCGGGAGTCGCGGGAGTCACCCCAGTGCCGTTGACGGCTTGAGCACCCGGCTGAACGCCATTCACAACGGGCCTCTGTCCGTTGACGTCGTTGGGAGGCGTGAGCTCGCCGTGGCCGCCAGGGAAAGACAGAGAGCCGGGAGCCGTGAAGGCCTTCGCCTGAGCCGCGTTGGAAGGATGAGTCTGAATGCCCTCCATGTTGATCCAAACTTGAGTCCTGGTCTCGATTTGAAAAGAGGATTGGCAGGACTGTAGTGTCAGATGTCAGTAAGGGAAACTGATCGTTGGAAGAATACGTGGCGCAGCAACTAATGGCGATGCGTGCGACGAAGGCTTGGAGTGAACGGCATGCCCAAAACGGGTTGGGGGAGACGGCAGGCCAAAAAAAAAAAAGCTATTGAAAAGCGGGTGGCTGGAAAGTGGCGGTGGCCCGTGCACGCCGAAAGAAAGGAGGGGTTTGGACGAGGAAGAGAGCCTACCAATTGATGTCAGAGGAGATGAACAAGCAAATGTGTCCCCTCAGAGCAGTTTGGGCGGTGCCTGGTGTGGTTGGGCTTGCGAAGAAGACGATGATCTCTCAACGTCGTCAGACGCCTCGTGGCAGCTTAACCAGCTCGGTGACCAAGGCCAAGTGAATGTCTCGGTCGGAGAACTCGGCGGCGGCAGGAGAGCTGCTCGGCACGCTAAAAGCACTCGCGGTGTTCCTGTCGGAACGAGAAAGTCGTCTCACAAGAAACAGGTAGCGAAAATGGGAACTGGATTCTATTCCTGACTTGGGCCAAGCGCACTGCCACCACTCGTGCAGTCGACTTGAGTCTTGCTTCTTCTCGACACCGACGAGGACCTGGGTTGCGATCGATGTCGGCAGTCCAGGTGTCCGGATGGGCACGCCGCGTCGACAAAGAGAAGAAAGGAGTATTAAAAAGTCTAGAGAGCGACGACCACACTAAATCGCAAGAGCGGTGGGGTGGGAAGGGAGAAATTCAGGATGCGAGGGCAAACTGAAATGGCGGTGGTTTTCGGTGTGTGTGGTGTGGAGCCCCAGAAGATACGTACAGGCAGGGCGCAGATTCCGAAGGACGGGCAGGAGTGGGAAAGCTGCCGTATTTATATCCGCGCAGAAACCGCCCCAGGTTGCGTGAGTGGCGTAACCTACTGCAAACGCTGCGTCCTTTGTCCAGTGGGTCCTGCCACGCCTCCCGGCCAATGGCGCGCCCAGGATGCGCATGTAGCTCTACATCCAGGCCTTGGACACTATTCCACCTTGGTGCAACCAAACCCACCATTCATTCGCTTTTGAAACACGAAATGTTCTTTTCCCCTCCCCCATCCCCGATCAGCTCCTGCCTCCACACACGCGAGTGCCAGCTCCTGCGGGCTCCTTTCCTGCCGATTCCTCGGTTTCCTGATAAGCGACATCCAGACATCCGGAACTGGTCGGAATTCGAAGCAGCCGCCAGGCCGTCAGCTCTCGCCGTCGCCGTCGTTCTTCTTATCCTCTGGAGCATCTTCCCGTGTTGACGTCTACCGCAACCATCCTAGGGAGACTATTGACCACCTCCCCGTCAACGACAGCTTGATCGCCGTCTTGCAGAGCCCAGCGCGCTACCTCGGCTCCCCGGTAAGGCCTTGGGCCTCCATGGCGGCACGCCAGACAGAACCTTCGGCACCCCCAAAACAAACATGGACCACGGCCTAGGCGGTGCTCGACAAACTCGCCCTTTCTTACCCCTTCACCTTTTTTCTTCTTGCGTGAGTCTGGAAGGAAAGCGATCGCAATCAACTGGTTTCGATGCCTTTGGCTTTGGCTTTTCCATTCCCTTCTCGCCCTTCATCCATCCCCGTGACCGACTCGATTCGGTGGGTGGCCCCAGTCCGGCCCAAGAAGGGCGTCATTAAACCCAGCCTGCCTTGGTCCCGCCGCAATTTTCCCTCCCGAGCACGAAATTGCCCCATCGTTACATGGAGCCTCCCATTCGCCACGGGCCAAATCACCGGGCGGTAACAAGGGTGTCCCAACTCCAAGCGGTGCAAGCCCATTGCCAGCCGTCGGTGCTCTTTGTTTTCTGTGTGTTGCTTTTTGTCCGCCCGCCAACCGTGCACAGCCCGGGCCCTCCGATCCTCATTCCCTGGCGCCAGTCGCCAAAATTTCTCCCTCCTTCACAAATCCTTTGTTGCTTTCTGTTTCCATCCCACGCACATTCATTCGGTGCTCATTTCGCACACAACCTGACCTCGTCCCTCCCTCTCCTTCTTCGCCGCTTCCTGTCACACGATGCTCCCTTCACATCCCCATTTCTTTGTCACCCCAAACCAGCCTGCCGCCATACTCCTGCATTCGTGCACGTTGTTTTCGTCGGGTTCTTCTCGCATCATGTCATGCCAACTGTGGCTTGAGGCAGTCCACGGCAAAGATCATGCCTGATTGCGGATGGTCCAGACGTGACAGTCTCAAGAGGCCGCGCATCCTCAATGCTGCCTGACTCCTGTGACTGCAGCCAGGCCCCCTCCCCCCTTTTTTCCCACCTCGCCCGGTTCGCTCCCCTTTGCGTGGTGTGGAAAGTTCCAGCCACTCCCTAGGCCCCCCTCCCTCCCTGGCGATTTTTTTTTCAGGCTGGTTTGGCACGGGCGCCGACAGGCGTCCTCCCTCCTGATGTACTGGTACTTTGCTCCTTGGCGCGCTATCCATGTCCGTGCGAGCCGACTCCTCGCCCCTTGCGGCCTCTTTTTTTTTCTACTTTTCCCCAATGACTCACTGCTGCGCACCAATCACGTCGCGTCGTGCTCGGTTTGCTTTGCCGTCCTTGGGGCCAAGCCCCCCAACCAACCGCTTCCCACCCATGGCCCATGGCGCCGACCATGCAGGCAGCCTTGGTGGCCCCAGGCCCCTGAAGCTGCCCATGATTTTCCCGCTCATCTCTGACCGATTTGTCACAAGCGGAATTTCCCCAGCTCTGACCGATGGTGCGGTCGCAGCCAACAAACAAGCAGTAAGCAAGAGGCAAGGAACACAGCGAACAAGGAACAAGAAGAAATAAAATCAATCACCAGGTGATGGATTTATCGATCCCAAATAGAGCTGATGCTAGAGCGCAAATAGTAATGAACAAAAATACCGAGCGAGAGCGACAGCCTGCCCCGTGCTTACTCCCCCGTTATCTTGACACTGCCAAAATTGGCGGGCTAATGCATGGCTGCGGCAGTCGATTGATTGTCTCTTGATGAAGCGATGCCACCCACACCAACCACCAGAGAACTCAAGCGCGATCCCAGCCGGTCCAGCACGCACCCCTTACCCCCTGCCGCCGGCGTGCGCCCGAGGCAACGACGTGCGACCTCGGCACGAGAGATGAGGCTTGCGCACTGTACGCCCGCCGGGCTGGGCCAGGGTGGTGCTGCACATTCGCGTCATCATCGCGTGCCTGTCGCGACACATTCGCGCCGCCTGTCCGGTCACCATGAGCGACGACGCGCGAGCTAGTCGTGTTAAGTGCCGGGTTTTGCTCTCCCGGCCATCGGGCGTAACGCCAAGACAACCGGTCATCACATCTATTGAAAAAAAAACGAAGCAAACATGACCCCCCCAAACAGAACTCGCACCATTTTCTTACAAGTACATGCCTCGTCCGAGACAGAAACATGATCCCCCCTCGCCTTCACGTCATGTAATACTTGGGGCCTTCCGATCCCTGTGGCGTCTGCCAGTTGATGTCCTGCAGGGGCGCCTTGATATCGCATGTTTTACAGTGGATGCAGCTGATGGGGGCGCAAACGGACATGGTCAGTGCTCACGAAACAAAAACCAACGGGCGGCACAACCAAGCCGCGATCGGGGACGGTTTGTTTGGCTTACTTTTGCGCGTTGATCTGGAACCGAACTCCGAGCTCCTTGGAAGGATCCTCGACGTACTCGTAGACGCCGGCCGGGCAGAATCGATTCTCCAGCCCCTTGAACTTGGGCCAAGTGTCGACGGCGTGCTGGTCCCAGTCCTTGACCTGCAGGTGCACAGGCTGATCCTCTTCGTGGTTGGTACCGGTGCGGGACACGCTGGTGAGGATGTCGAACGTGAGCTTGCCGTCGGGCTTCTCGTACTCGATCTTCTCGCACTGGTCCGCGGGCTTGGTGGCCAGGTGGTCGGGCGTCTTGTGTTTCAGGGTCCAGGGCACGCGGCCCTTGAGGAGGTACGTCTCGAGTCCAGAGTACAGGATACCGCCGTACATGCCCAGGGGCGAGTGGAACGACGGGCGGATGTTGCGCACCTCCTTGAGCTCCTTCCAGACGCTCGACTGGCGCAGCGAGTCCTCGTAGTCGTACAGGAAGACCGAGCCGTCGCTGTCGACGCCGCCGAGTGCCTTCCATGCCGCCTCGGCGGCCAGCATGCCCGACTTCATGGCGTTGTGCGTGCCCTTCACCTTGGGCACGTTGACGAAGCCAGCCGAATCGCCGATCAGAGCGCCTCCGGGGAAGGCGACCTTGGGGATCGATTGGAACCCGCCCTCGATCAGGGACTTGGCGGCGTACGAGATGCACTTGCCACCCTCGAGCACCTCGCGGTAGAGCGGGTGCTTCTTCATCTTCTGGAACTCGCCGTAGGGTGACAGCCACGGGTTCGCGTAATCGAGCGCTACGACAAGGCCGACTGAGACGAGGTTCTCGCCAAAGTGATACATCCAGCCGCCACCGTAGACGTCCTTGGAAAGTGGGTAGCCGAGCGAGTGCGTGATCTCGCCCTTTCGGAACTTGGCAGGGTCGACCTCCCAGACCTCCTTGAGCCCGAGACCGTATGTCTGCGGCTGGCTCTCGCGGCGCAGATCGAACTTTTTGATCACCTGCTTGCTCAGGCTGCCGTGGCAGCCCTCGGCGAACAGAGTGCAGCGGGCGTGGAACTCCATGCCGCGCTCGAAGGAGTCCTTGGGTCGGCCGTCGCGGCCAATGCCTAAGTCGTTTGTGGCGACGCCGAGCACAGAGCCGTCGGGTTTGTACACAACCTCGGACGCGGCGAAGCCTGGGTAGACCTCGACACCGACCTCCTCAGCCCGGGCACCCAGCCAGGCGTTGAACTGGCCCAGGCTCAGAATGTAGTTCCCGTGGTTGTGCATCTGGGGCGGCGCGGGGAGCGGGATGGCCATGGACTTTGTCAGGAAGCGCATGCGGTCGCCGCCAGCGGGGGTCGCGTGCTCGAATCGGTCGGGGTTCTCGGGGTCGAGCCAGTTGGGGATGAGCTCGCCGATGGCAGTCGGTTGGATCACGGCGCCCGAGACGGTGTGCGCACCCAGCTCGCCCGCCTTCTCGAGCAGCAGGACCCTGAAGTCCTCATTGCCCGCTTCGTTCGCCAGTTGCTTAAGCCGGATGGCTGCGCTGAGACCGGCCGGACCTGCGAGGCGGCGACGATGTTTTGCCCTCAATTGTCAGCGAATATTGTGCTGCCTGCCATGCCTGCCTTTTGTCTCACCTCCGCCGACGATGCACACGTCCACCTGGTCGCTTTCCCTCTCGATCGCTTGAACATCGAACGGCTCGGCTTGGCTGGCTGTATGCTGCGATGCGGTAACCGAGAACGGCCTCCTTCCCCTCCAGGGCGCAGGGCTCTGTATCGGTCTTCGCGCCAACCTGTTCAGGGCGTGGCGGGACGAGAAAGCCGCCCTTGGAACAACGGTGGCGAGCAGGGGCGGAGCGAAGGCATTGCGACCGAGGCGGCTCCGCGCCGCTCCTCTGGCCAGCGCAGACATAGGGTACCTGGTAAATCAATGGATTCCACCCCGAGTCTACCTGCACATCGCCGTGTCGAGAAATCGTGTCCAGAGCTAGACTTGATGGTGGGGGGTCTTAGTGACAGGCTCAATGGCATTCCATTCCCGCGGGAGCTATGACGTTTCTTTTTTTTTCTACACCCCCTGGCCAGCTGAGGCGAGTCGCTGCAGCCAATCCGGTTACAGCAATTATCACAAATTCCATCTTGGGCGGCCGACGCATGTGACACCACACGCACATCAGTCCTAAGCCCAGCGCATTCTTTGCCGAAGGAAGCCGGCTCAGCAGCCGACGACCGATCCACCATTTGAACCGCCGCTGGCCCTGTGGCTGAGTTCGGGTACGGCCGAGAGGGACGACTTGGACGCCCACTGGGAATGGTTGTTTGTATTTTGGAATATGTCTGGTCTCACGCCTATCGTCGGCTCGCCCTTCAGCGGCCTAGTAAATGCACCCCGCGCGGCACCGAGTCCAAGCGCGTACGCATTGTGGGAGCTTTCACAAGGCAGAGATATGAGCTGTTCAAATGAGAGAAGGGAAAGAAAAAGCAATACAGCCCCGTAAGTGACCATGGCGGCGACGTGCAGCTCAGACCGGAAATGTGATGACAAGATCAACATTGGAATCCTTCTTGCCGCACGGCAGCTTGTTGAAGCTTTCCCATATGCCTACTAAATCAAGTCTGAGTATCTGGTCCGCGAATTCGAGGTGCCTGCCGAGGTCCTGGGCCTCTGACCCTCGGGCGACGACCCCGACCGAGCTGGGCTCGAAGCTAGGACACGAGGTATAAATACCTAGATGAACCATAGCTGTCAGCCATTCTCGTTCCTATTGTTCAGTTGGCCGTATTTCTTCTTTCGTTCTTTGCCGGATTGTGGCAGTCGATTGAGCATAGCACAGGGTTCAGGGAGGATAAATACCAAGGATTCCTAGCGCTTTGAGAGACACCCGAAGCTGGAGCGTCGAAGAAGACGGCTGCTCGTGATACTCGGTTGCGATTATCGCTGCCGCGCCAGACATCTTCCCAAGCAGACCCAGGATGGCCAGACCAGAGCCGCCAACCTTGCGCACAACATGCGCTGTCAAAATTTCAGCACCCCGTTCCGCAATCGTGAGCTCCGCGACAGGATCATCGGAACAGAGCGTGTATGGGCCTGTGAGCCTGGCTGACCCATGCCGGTATACAATGAATTTGGCGGAAGGATTCGTATCTGGGGAGGAGAGGAAGTCTCGCAGAAACACAAGCTCGGTTAGGGCCGCGGAGCCCATGTTGAAGAGTCCAAGCATCGAGGCTTGACCGTGCCGCGCCTGTATCCTTAGAAGCCGACCGTCCGTATGCTCGAGGTACATTTCTGCCGTTCTCCCAACTACCTCTGGTCGTAGAATCAGCAGCCGGCCATCAGGGGTCTTTGCTGTCATCTCTTCGATAAGGTTGCCGTCGTGCTGGCCAGGGTTGTCAGTGATATATATTGGGCCGCCAGATAGGCAACGTGCGGCGGCATGGAATCGCGAAAAGTGGTGCACTGTTTGGAACATGTCCCAATCCGGAAAGATGCGTAGATGCTGGCTAAGGAGAGCAATATGTGCGTTGCAGAAGACATGCCAAGTGTGGGAGCTGATAACAACACGGTTAACGAATGCAATAATATGGAAGGCGTTTATAGGACATGACATTACCCTGCATCGTCGGGAAAGAAGTCGTCCGAGTTCCGCATCATTAATACAGGCCAGTCGTCCCTCAGAAACTCGGGAATACTCTGGGGGATCTGGGCCATGCATGCAATGGCTTTCCCGTCAAAGTGCTTGACAAGGGCAGAACGCCATGCTTTCTGATAAGATGCTGTGAGCGCCGACCGGTCGTCCGCATGCTCGGGGTAGTCCAGAAAGCTTTGCGTGTCAGTCTTGACGGCGTTCACCCCAGACTCCACAAGAAAGCTGCACGGGTCAGTCAGCGTGCCAAGGAGATTTGGGAAGCGGAAGGGTAGTGAGGCGAACCGGTAGAAATCATCAAACAGCGAGTGGGCATCGGGTCCGTCCACCGTGGTCATGTCCCCTCCGCCAAGCCATATGCCCTCGCGCCGCTTTACTGTTCGCAAGGTGTACGTCTGGGCAATGTCACCAGTGGGGGCTACGCCACCCCAATACCCAAAGACCCCATGCCAGACCGCGATGTTTCGGATGAAGGGGAAGCGGCGGCGTATCACCGAGGTTAGAGCTTTGAGGCCGCCTGGGAAATTCTCCTTGTTGGCTTCGAAGGCGGTCCAGCGGTGCTGGAAATTGGATTCGCTAGCAAAGTCCAGAGACTGCCAGTTGTCGTCGATAATCAGATTTGTAGCGTGAATCCCACTTGAGCCCAGCCTGTCAAGAGCATCTATTATCTTGGCGGGTGTCAAGTTCTGTCCCAGTCCGTTCCAGGTACAGTAGGCGAGTCCATCGTGCCAGTCCTCCAGCTGATGCTTGGCCTGTGCAGCAGGCTCAGTGTGGCAACCTATACTTTCTTTCCGAGCATATGAACGGACAAGGTTCCTGGCTGCCCCGAACACGGTAGCGATCGCGACGTCGGCTTGCGTCGCTGTGGCGACAAAGACACGCCCTGTGCCTGTGGATGGCCTGTCATTGCGGCATCGAGCTAGGATATTCCCGTTGTTATCAGAGCTGAGTGTTGTGAGGACGTCCCCGAAACTCAAGGCCAGCATCACGAGATGTATGCCATCATCTCTGAGAATAGATACTAAAATCCCATCCTTGTCAAGGGAAACTCGACCGCGGCCCTGGCGAGGACCGAACCATGCCTCATTATGCCTCACGATGGCAAACCATCGCAAGGCACGGACTGGCGTGCCCAGAGTGACAGTGGAATATCCGGACCGTCGTCCTTGGGCAGCAGCAACGGATATGGACAGCTCCCAGCTGAGGCAAGCCTCGGACTTTTCAAGCCCGGGCTCGATGTGAATATCATGGTCTGGGCTCGTGAGGTAGCAAATAAGGCTATCGTTCGGCAGCTGTTGGGGAACAAATATGACCTCCCCATCGCCCAGTCTTGATATTTCCTTGGCCCATTGCCATTGGGTATCGGATTCGAGTCGGAACTTGACGGTGAACCGGAAGCTCGAGACATGGCCCGAAGCCCTTGCAAGGGAGCCGCTGAAGTATACGCTTCTGCCATCACTCCCTTGGGGGAGGCAGCCTAACTGTAGTGCGTCCGTTAGACCAGGCCAGCGTCGGCCCCTTGCTTTGCTGGGAACGGACTTACGCGGTGCATCAATGCCAGCTCCGCCCAGGTGCCGTCTTCAGTATTATCGTGCCAGACAACAACTTCCGAAACGCGGTCGACGTTGCCGTGAGCCCCTGGCCCATAGCACAGCGAGATGGCGAAGGTGAAGCAAGCCTGCATATCTCTTGGGTCAGACGCAAAGAGGGCCACAGGGAGTTCAACTAAATACGCGCAGATACCATACCTGGCTGCCTTGTATGGGCGTCACAAAGCCCAGTGGTGGATCGCATACCAGTCGCGGCCTCATTGTCACCTTGGGGAGTTGGTATATACCGCGGAACGTCGTGTGTGTCAGGGCGTCCCGTCTAGCGGCGTGTCCCTATAGCCACATCGCCTGCCCCGCGGTTTTAAACACCCGAAGCGGGAAGTGGCAGGCACAACAGCGCTGAGCTCAGAATCGGGTCTCTTCAAGGGCAGGAACGAAGCCGCGATCGGTGAATGGGCAGTTTATTGAATTTCCGACCCTCGGGCACCCTGCCCAACGACCAAGAACGATAGAGCGAGAAAAAAAAAGAAAAAAAAAGCACACAATAAGAAAACTAGGTAGCAATAAGTAACCAGAAGCAAAGTAAATACCTATCTAAATAAATGACAAAATATTTCCCCTCGTGAGGTGGTTGCTGCCACACGTGACGCTCATCCTGCATGGCCACACAGCACCCAGCGCAAGAGGTGCTGACCTCACTCTGCATAATGCAGCCGGAGTGGAATGTGGGGGTGGTGTTTCGACTTCACCTTCGCTCATCGCCAACTGTTGCTGCAGGAGTATGGGGAAGGTCTACACATCCACCACTCTCCCATAATTTCGACCATGGCACTTTCGTCGCTTCTTTTCTCATCATTGGTGCTGCCCGTCGGCTCCGTCTCTCTGTGCTTCCTGATATACCGCTTCTTAGTCTACCCAGCCGTCTTGTCGCCGCTGTGTCGAATTCCTAATGCGCATTGGCTTGCGCGCATCTCGCCGCTCTGGATCCTCCTGGTGCGCTTCCAGCGTCGGGAGAACAGGACTCTTCAGCGGGCTCACCGAAGACTTGGCCCTTTTGTGCGTGTCGGCCCCAACGAAATCAGTGTCGACGACGCTGGCGCCGTCAAGACTATCTACCAGGGCGGCTTCGACAAAACATCGTGGTACTCCATTTTCGACAACTATGGGTGCGTATATTATACTTCTGTTCTTGGGCCGAGCTGGAGCTAACGAATCAGCAGCGTCCCCTGCATGTTCTCGGCCCAGACGAGCCGCGAACATTCTCTTAGAAAGCGGATGGTGTCAAACGTATACTCCAAATCCTTCATACAGTCTTGCGAGGCATTGAGGGCGCAAGCCAAAGTTATATTGTACGAGCGGCTACTCGGCATCGTACAGGAGTCGATGGTAGAAAATCAGAAACCGCACGGAATCGACGTGCACTCGCTATTCTTGGCTACTTCCATGGACTTTATCTCGGCCTACATCTTTGGCATCCGTCACTCGACCAAATTCCTAGACAGGCCAGGCTACAGGGAACACTGGATACAGCTCTATGCCGCGAGAGCGAACTACCCGTTCTTCAACCAAGAGTTGCCCTGGCTCACACGACGCCTCTCCAAGCTCGGCATACGGTTGTACCCATCATGGGTTGATGCCGCGAACAAGGAGCTGGAGGACTGGAATCGCAGCATGTGCGCCGCCACCCTGGCCGACGATGCTGTTCTTGCCGCTACCGGAGCATCTTCCAGCTATGCGGACGAAGCCGTCGTTACGAGGGCGTTGCTCGCCGGACTTGAACGGGAGAAAAAGCTTGGCGCGGATTCGATTCTCTATCCTACAGCTATCAGTCAATATGACCTGTCGGTAGCCTCGGAGCTCTTCGACCAAGTGCTTGCCGGCCACGAAACAGTGGGCATAACAATGACGTACCTGGTTTGGCATCTGTCTAAAAACCGCGACCTGCAGCAAAGCCTGCACGCCGAACTATTGTCCATGGAGCTAAACACGAAGAATGACGTGCCCGCCAACCCCAAAATGCTGGACTCGCTGGAACTGCTTGACGCCGTGCTCATGGAGACGCTACGGTTGCACGCGGCCATCCCTGGCCCTCAACCTCGTGCGACGCCCTATCCATCGTGCAAGCTTGGACCTTATGAGATACCCGGAGGGACACGAGTTTCGGCCCTGGCGCATACGTTGCATCGGGATGAGAAGGCCTTCCCTAACCCCGAGATCTGGGATCATACACGGTGGCTCTCCAATCGAACGGACGACGAGACGAGAAAAGCAATGAACAGGCAGTTCTGGGCGTTTGGATTAGGGGGCAGGATGTGCCTAGGCTCAAACTTTGCCATTCACGGTATGTGTTGCTCTTCCAGGCACAAGTTTCCGCTCCAAGATACGGCTGTTCCGTATCAGAGCCATGCTCACAAACTGCAGAGATGAAACTCATTGCCGCCGCAATCTATTCCAACTTCACAACACATATCGTCAACGATACGGGGATCGAGCAAGACGATGGATAGTACGTGGCCATTGCGTTTCACCACCATGATGTGTACTTTGTGGTAACTGACCAACTGCGTTTTACATAGTACCGTTGGGCCACGGAGCGGACAGCTCTTTGTTCGATTTGAGAAGGCTGATTGAAAAGGGCTCCATGGTCGGAAGCTTCGACATTGACACGTGTAAAGCGAGGCAGCTGAAGGAACAAGATTCATTTCTGCACTGTCCACACGGCATGACTTGGGGGTATTCTCTTTTTGCCTCCGAGGCACGGAGTATATGGCATTGACACGAAGAAAAAAAAGAGGCCAAGAAGGTGGACATAAGGAGCGCACGAGGGCGCACTATCGAGAAAAACAAAGAAATACGGAGCAGACAGAATCCGAGTTGACTGGGCCGTGAAGACATAGAAAAGCGCAGGGTAAAGAGATGATCTATTCCGCTCCAGAACCAGAGACAGGGCTCTGCCTACACGAGCCGCACGGGGCGAAGATCGCGCCTCGCCTTGGCCTTGCCGCCGCCGTTCAGAACAGCCAGGATGCTTTCCAGGGCGCCGCCAGCACCGGCAGCGCCGTCCTTGCCCTTGCCCTTGCCACCGAGACCCTGGAGCTGTGACGAGATGAAAAAAAAAAAAAAGGTTAACCCAACATGTTTTTTTTTCCGCACCGCAACAGACCCAGAGGGTTGGAGTGGGAGATTGCGACTTACCAGATCGAGCAGGCCGGCGGCGCCGTTGCCGTTGCCCTTGCCCTCGCCACCTGCGCCGCCGGCGCCGTTGCCCTTGCCCTCGCCGCCTGCGCCGCCGGCGCCGTTGCCCTTGCCACCTGCGCCGGCGTTGTTCTTCTTCTTGCCACCGCCAGCATTTGCGGTCCCGTTGTTGTCGGCGGCGCCGCCGGCAGCGGCCCCGGCGTTCTTCTTGCCCGCTTTATTCTTCTTGCCACCGCCAGCATTTGCGGTCCCGTTGTTGGCGGCGGCGCCGCCGGCAGCGGCCCCGGCTTTCTTGCCCTCCTTGTTCTCCTTGGCAGGGGCGGTGGCGTCGTCGGCGGCACCGCCAGCAGCGGCGCCGGCCCCGGCGCCCTTGTTCTTCTCGGCGGCCTTCTCGCCAGCGGACTCCTCAACAACAGCGCCCTCGTCAGCAGCCTCCCCTGCTGCCGCCGCCGCCGCCGCCGCAATGGCATCGCGGAGGAGAAGGGCCTGTGGTGCGGGTGCGAGCTCGTCACGCGCGGCCAGTCCCCTGTCGGCCGGCATGGCGGCGACGTAGGAGGTGGCTGCGAGGAGCAGGAGGGCGATGTTTCCGATGCTCTTCATCTTGGCTGTGGGTATGGGGGAGGAAGGGAGAGAAATAAAGTGGGTGAATCACGAAACGAAAGTGCTCAAAGAGGAAACGATGAGGCTTGAATAGAGCACAGCTCTGGTATCTGTCTACGACAAAAGATAGGACTGGCCTATGGTAGAAGTGAAAGTGAAGAAAAAAGGAGAGAAACCCGACCGGTAAAAAACGGAAGGATGGAAAGGTGGCTGATGAAGAGATGGGATTCCTTTTCTCAGGACAGAAACGGGAAAGGGCCAAGCATTCTTATACAGAAAAGACCCAACCGCCGGCGACTTCACTTCGGTTGGGACTGCCCTCTCCACCTGGAGATGATCTCCGTGAAGGCCGCAGGGGGGTGCTGAGTGCCCATCGGGGAGGGCGTGGGAGGCCCGACCATGGCTATGTGCCAAGGCCCTGTCTTCCAGGACATGCGACGAGACTTTTGGAAACATGAGGCTGATACCCTCTTCCTTGAGCAGGGGTCAGGAACCGCGACGGGACAGGGCAAATACCCGGGTACAGTATGTGCAGTCCGGAGTCGCATACCTGGGTATCCGTTAGGGCGGCGGTCCAGACTGTAAGTAGCGGGAGGGGGGGCGTGTTGGAAAGATGGCTGGGAGGGCAACGTGCGCTCGGCCGCGGGGGCGCAACGGTGTAGAGCCGTCCCCTGTAAAGTCGTAATCCGCCCGGGGCGGTCACAGTCTAGAAGGCGGTTTGGCATGGGTGGGCGCCATGGCCGCAGCCTGGTTTGGACGACACGACACCGGGGGAACGCTGCCGCGGAGGGCGGGAGGAAGGGTGGGCGGAAGTGGGTGTGGTTCCTCGAGCTCGATCTGGGATCGTCGTGGGGGACTCTCGGCGAAAGTGCCCTCTCTTGGTTCTCCCACCACTACGGCTCGCCACCTCAGGGGTAAACGCCACCCCCCAGCGGCCAGCTCCCGATATGGAAGCTTTTTGGGGACCGCGCTAGGTGGTCGGTTTTGGGACCATATTTTTCCAGCATCCACAAGGAGCGCGCACACACTGTCTGCTTCTTGGGAGGATCATGGTATGAGCAAAAATGACTGCCAGTAATGGTGTTCTGATCCGCGTCCGTCCTGGTTTCGAGAGGCGGATGTGCCAAGAAACATTCTTGGCGGTGTAAACAGCCAAACGAACTTCTAGTCCCCAATCCCCAGAAGGCGACGAGACGATTGCCGTTTAATGAACGGTTGCGGGCGCTCTCCCGTGGCCGATCGGACCAAAGCAGGCGCCAGTTGGGGCATGAGACTCGCTGGCAGGAAGGAGCCCGCATGCAGGACGGACGGCGCTTGCACAGACGGTCGGGGCGACAGATGGGCATCCTGGCAAGAGATGATTTGTCGTGGCCACGCGTACGTGGAAACACGGAAATCAGAAGAAAAACCACCCCCGGTCCCGACATCCCTTCCTGTCCCTTCCTGTCCTGTCCCGTCTCACCATCGACGACAGGCTGGTGGCGCCATGTTTTACCTGTTCCGCATGTCGTTTTGTTTTCCCGTGGCAGCTGTGCTGACTTGCGGCGTCGATCCAAGGTGTTCGCTGACAGAAAACGTCAACAAGTTGACAGACAGTAGCTGCCATTGTCTAGCGCTCATCTTTGCTCTATCTCAAACCCGTGTGGGTAGCGATCAAACGGGGCTAGCTAGCGGCGACTCAAAAGGACCCGTCAGGCTCCCCAAACATTTTGATTCTTTTCCTTTCTTTTTTTTCTCTCCTATCCCTTCCCACTCCACGCTCCAAGCCTTTTTAGTGCCTAACGCACGCAATTTCCTCGGTAGATCGCCCTTTCCTACTTTATTCTCTCTCCAAGCGAACCCAAGGTGAGGCGTTGGCTCGACTGCTCTGACCGGAGAATTTCAACACACCGCCCTTGACGGCGATGATACATGGCGCCCCAGGGTCTCAAACCGGCCCCTGCGCGTGGCCATGGAGGGGTGAGGAACTGAAACCTGGGCGATCGCGCACGCCCCAGCAGCATCCCCCGTCCCTGTGGCCCTCCAGCAACTCCTTCTCTTTTTCTTATCGAGCGTGGGAACGGCCAGCAATGGACACGGATCAGGCGATTATGTGAAAGGGGGTACGAAGCGTTGATCCGTTTCGATCTCGGCATTTCCTGACAGCAACGGCGCACGAAAGGTCGCGTCTGCCTGCCGCTTCGCAAAATTAAGCTTGTCTTTGGATCGCCTCATCTCATGCAACGCCGGGACGGACAGACCACACACACGGATGTACGTCTACGACAACATTTCCTTGCTTTTCCGTACCGTAGATACGTAGATTGTAATCCAGGTCCGCGGAAGCCATGAGCGGGATTAGGGTGGAGACTTACCAAGAGATCGCCTGATATCAATGGTAGGTATATCAAGCGACGGGCGACAATGTCTCCCAACTCGAACAAGGGAACAAGGGAAACCAGATTTGTGCCTGAGCTTGACTCCCGAGAATCGTCGAAAAGCAGCGGGAGCGAGCCCGAGCTGAAAGACTTCACATCTATATTTGTGCACGTAATATCAAGCATTATAGAGCCAGCGCTTTGTGCTATTTGCGTTTCTTTGCGGGCGCAAGCCTGCCCAGTACCATGAAGCCCGCGGGTCCCATTTTCTAATCTCGCCCCCGCCAGTGGACCCCCTCGCCAAGGTCGATACCAGCCAGGAGGACAGTCCAGCACTAGGATCGGGGCCACAGCCGGACCTGGAACGCCCTCAAACATGGAGAAACTGACCAGGGCCCTCCACCCGTCAGAAGTTGCTGCGCCTTCTTGTCAACTGGGATCAAATCCTGATTATTGGGCGGCTCCACCGCTAATCATCGCCAAGGGCGGCAACGTTTGCTTGTTCGCACGCCCAGAGGTTCAACGCTTTAATACAGGGGGAAAAGACAAGAAAAGAGAAAACACATGGTTAGCCGGAGTGATTCCAAAACTGGGCGTCTGAAGGGTGCAAAAATGAATAGGTCAACCAACATGCTTGTTGAACCGTTTCAACTGGAGAAAATGCAAAAATCAACTGATCCGACCCAGGATCGAACTGAGGACCTTGAGCGTGTTAAGCTCACGTGATAACCGACTACACCATCGGACCATTTGATGGAGATTGATGGGGCTTGCTGAGCTTATAGTGGGAAATCTGCCCCGCCTGCCATCCATTGCACGAGTCTGCTTGAGCATCACGACCACTCTCCATCCCTTCCAACGAAATCATAACTCTTAGGTTCGAGTACCCTACCGGAAATAATTTTTATCGAGTTTTTAACTTTAAAGGCATTATTCAAAAGGTAAGTAATGTAAAAGATTTTAGTAGGATAACGGTAAAAAAAACATCCGTGGGTAGGCTGTAAGTTAATGCTGTCGTATTATACCAAAATACTACTACCATTCTGCCCAACTAGCACACAAAATGCACGTTTATTTGCCATCTCCCATCTGCAAGTCGAGGCTACACGATTTTGGGGATCAGCCTTGGTGTGTTTGCCTTCCACTCCTGGTAGTCCTTCCGATCACCGTATAGCTTGTTGTACTTGCGCTCGCTGAGTGGGATACCCGAAAGCCTTGTCAGGATGAAGTACGAAAAGGCAGGGCTAATAGCCGACATAGCAGTCGTCGCCATCACACCGCCGATCCCTCCACCCAAGCCTGTGGCCGCCTGCGTCGCCGGTGCGCGCAGAACTCCAGCGGCCGCCGTGGCGATGCCAGTCCACAGGGTGATCTCGCCAAAATAGTTGGGATATTGGCTACAGGCTCGCGGTAATTCATATAAGCTTCTGTGGCCCCTTGCCATCTTCAGGAGACGAAAGATGGAAGGCGACGTCGGACTTACCTCTTGGACCACAGACCGCGTGTCATGAAAGCCTCGTCATGAACCTTGTTGTGTTTCTCCTCTAACCAGCGCGACTTCTGGCGGTCGGCGACGACCTCGAATCCGAAACCAAGGGCAAACAGTCCAAGTCCGAGCACGTCAGTGACGCGGACCCCGAAGGCGGAGGAGCGCGCGGCGGCGGCGAGGGCGGCGGCGGGGACAGAGTTCACGGCGAGGACGGGCAGCGAGCACAGCGTGACCCACACAGCCTGGGCGACAAAGGCGAACACGAACCGGCGCGGATTCTTCTTGATGACGTCGAAGCGGGAGTCCTTGCCCTCCTTGAGGATGCGTTGGAACAGGTACGAGCCCAGGCGGGTGGCCCACATGCCGATGGCGGCGCTCAGGGCGACCTGGCGCCAGTTCATGACGCTGGGCGGGCCCGAGCCGCCGAGGGCGGCCAGCAGACTCGGGAACTCGGGCTTGGGGGCTCCGGCGAGGGAGGCGGCGGCGCGCGCGCGGAGGGCCGGGAGGTATAGGCTCAGCGCGGTGGCTGCCAAGTACGTGAGGGAGCCCGAGACACTGTAGACGCCATTTAGCTCACTGGAAGATCTGTGTTGCTGTGCTTGGAAGCCACGGTGAGCCAAGAACATGAGGTTGCATGCTGGCGCCTACTCATAGAAACGATCCGATTGCAGCGCAATGCTGGGGCCAGCGACGCCAAGCTGCAGTGCAAAGACGAGGCCAACGCTCGGCACCAGAGTCCGCAAAAAGGGGTTTTTGAAGTTGGTGATGTGAAGGAGGCTTTGTAGGAGTCCCATTTTGAACCAACATGTATTTCGGACGGGCTGCCCGATTCTCTCTGTAGTGCGTGCACTGGGGAAGTGTAAAAGTTACCTGCTCTGGTATTTTATACCCAGGGTGGCGTTCTAAGAAGACACCGTGACGACATCAACCCCAGTGCAACATAGATGACTGAGCGCATAATAGAGTTTTGAGGGGTAGCTAGCCAAATTACGAACCAGTGATCACGGCAGCGTTTCGAGTCGCTGGCCATCGAGCGGCGGGCATTGTATCGACCGAGGTTGATGCAAAGTTTAGTGGCAAGTTGCAGTCACAGTTGCAGCGCCCAGTCTCTGCGAATTACCAAGGGACTCGTCACAACCAACACTTAGCAAACGGCACTCGAGACCCATGCAGATTCCAGATTCGCTGATCGACCTCTGACTGGCGCACGTGCTTGCCGCTGTATGTGATTGAGCCATCGTGCTTAGGTCCTGTCGGTCATGCCTTCCCTTCTAACCTGCCGGTCGTACCTTCCCTGACTTTATCGTGAGGTGGATTCCTGCATGAGTGGGGCTACCGTCGAGTCTCGTCACTTACCCAAAAGCAACCCTCCAATTCCCACCCACTCGTTTTCGCGACCGTCTCTTTTCACCATACACTCTCAGGCTCACCATTTCCCACCTCGACATCCGCCGCAATCGCGTCAGCCAAGTTACAAGGCCAGGTAGTTATGGTCGCGGTCCCGACAGCTTCTGGATCCCCCTGGAATCCCTTTTCGGAGCGAGCAATCGCAGATACTGAACAATCATGACCCTGGTGCTAGACTTGTCTCCTCAGTCCCTCTAGGTAGCCGATCACTTCCCGGACCCGCGATGGCTTCGCCGGCGGATTCGACGCCGGCGCCCCTCGCTGAAGCTGCGCGGGACAGCGACGCGGCTCCGGCCAAGGCGCACGCAGCGGCGTCGCCCAACCCAGCGTCGCAATTGACGCAAACCACAGCCGGACCTGCCGCCTCTATCGCCTCCGACGCAGTCGCATCACCTGGGCCTGGCGGATACACGACCGAAGACGACGCGAAGGAGGAGGGCGAAGCAGATGAAGACGACACCGCCGACACCAACGGCAAGCCTACCATCACCTCGACCACCTCGCAGCCTGCAGAGACGCAGCCGCCATTGCCCGCCGAGCCCACTCCAGAGCAGCAGCCGCAAACCCAGCAGGGCGATGGTTGGGACTATATGTGGCATGCTGGATCAAACCGGTACTACTTCTTCAATTCACTGACAGGAGAGAGCACCTGGGATAACCCGCGTGTCCCCCCTTCGGCGTCCACCGTCACGGTCGATGTAGCAACGGGCCCTCAATCGCCCGCGCCGCCGCCACTTCCCACTGTTGCCGGCGGCTACAACCCCGCAATCCACGGGGACTATGACACGTGGTACGCAGAGCACGGACCCAAGGATGAGGACGATGATGAGACGTCGGTGGCGGCGGGGATGGCGGACCCGGCCCAGCTGCTGGCTGGCGTCACGTTCAATCGCGTGACCGGCCAGCCTCAGCGGTCAGACCAGGGCGCGGACTGGCACGGCGACGAGGGCAGAGCGCGGCGTCAGATGAACAGCTTCTTCGACGTCGACTCGGCCGCAAACGCCCACGACGGAAGGAGCCTCAAGGCCGAGCGCGCCGGCAAGCGCCTCACCAGGAGCGAGGTGAAGCACTACAAGGAGAAGCGCAAAGCCAAGAAGGACGAGAAGAGGAGGGCTTGGCTGAGGGACTGATCGGGTCTGTCTCGCGGCCTGCCTCTGTTCTTCCCTACTGTCCCTTTCTTCCCCCTGTGGTGGTTGGTTACTCGTTCCAGCCGCGCAACGGTCACAGAAGAGACTCCCGGTTTTCATGGAGTTGCCTTCTTTTTGCGTGCGATCTTTACAGAAGGGCCTCACGGTTACCATGGAGTTGCCTTGTTCTTTCGTGCCCTCTTTACCGAAGGGCCTCACGGTTGTCATGAAGCTGCCTTCTTCCTTGCATTGTCTTTTTACAGAAGAGACTCACGGGTTTCATGGAGTTGCCTTCTTCTCGCATGCGGTATTTACAGAAGAGCCTCACGGTTTTCATGGAGCTGCCTTCTTCTCTCTTGTCTTTTTACAGAAGGGACTTGCGGTTCTCATGAGGTTGCCTTCTCGCATGCGATCTTTACCCAAGGGCATCACGGTTGTCATGGAGCTGCCCTCTTCGTTTGTCTTGTCTTATTTGCGCTTTTATCTTGCCTGCTTTCCTGTTCCATCCTTCTTCCCCTTGCCTTTTCTTCCATTGGTACAGGATGGCAAGGCGGCTTTTGGAGAGGAAAATCTGGGCTTGGACTGTTGAATTGTGATGTGTTTATAGGCTCTATTCTAATGGCGGGTTGGATGGCATAGTCCTTGGATCTTCTTGGATCTCCTTGGATCTACCAGGTCGACTGCATCGGCTTGACGACGGCATTTGCGCGGGTTTTGACGGGGCGCGGATCTGGGTTAGAACACTGGACCAACACGAGAACAGGACATCAACTGTGCGTGTTATGTAGACATATATACTGCGGTTGAGAAACAAATGGGTTCCCGCATATCGCTTATCAACACTGATCGTCATCGTCCGCGTCCGCGTCCTCGTCCTCATCCTCTTCATCGTCGTCGAGAACCATCTCTAGATGGACGCTTTCGTCATCGCTATCGCTTGCATCACCACCTGTCTGCGGCGGCGGCGAAGGCGCGGCCGCCGGTGCCGACTTCCCCTTGTCCTGGCGCTTCGCGGGCGCACCCGCCGGCTCGTCCCCGTCTTCGTCGACGCTCTTGCGCTTGAGCACCAGGGGCACGAAGGGCGCCTCGTCGGCGGGCTGGGCGCTCGGGAGATCCGAGGCCTCGCCGTCCACTTCCATCTTGCCGCTCTCAAAGTAGCGAGAGAAGCCGCCTACGGCAGCTGTTTCGGCGCCGGAGTCTGTCGTTTCGGCGGCGGCAGCAGCAGCGCCGCCGAGATCTTGGCTCCGGAAGACGGTCAGCGTGGATCTCGCCGTGATGCTGTCGCCGCCGAGTTCGCGGTCGGCGGCATCGTTCTCGGCCTCCCCTCCCTCCTCGCCGCCGCCGCCGCCGCCGCCCCCACGGACGCCGTCGAAGGCGACGCTGCCGAAGTGGTGCGGCTTCGCGCGCAGGTTCGTCCGGAGCAGCTCCACGCCCGCGTCCCCCGGGTACTGGCGGGCCAGGAACGGGTACGTGTTCGCAAAGGCGCGGCCGCTCCTGTCTACGTAGGGGTTCAGCACGCCGGCAAGCATGGCGGCCCTGCTGCGGCACAGGATGGCGGTGCGGTCGAGGAGCGCGCGCTCGGCCTTCTTGAGGTGCTGCTGCGGCAGGCACGACAGGGCGGCCTCGAGCAGCGCCTCGGCCGCGGCGAGGTGGTCCGCGCCCGGCCCGGAGGGGCTCCGCCGCCGCCCTGCCGCAGTTGCAGTGGCGGCCGTGGAGGAGGAGGAGGAGGAGGAGGATGTCGTGTTCTTGCTGGGCAGGAAGAGGTCTGCGTTCGCCTGCGCGCCGGCGGTCTTGGTGCCATTTGCCTTGGCCTGCTTGTCCTGGGCCTCGTCCTGCGCGAAGCCGGACGCGACCAGCAGGTCGTGGCAGCAAGCGTGGAGGGCGGGAGCGAGCGAGTCGACTGATATCCTGGGGAGGGTCGGGCCACAGATGGGCAGGAGATCCCGCACCAGGGCAAACACTGCATGGCGCGCCTCGGTCAGCTGCGGATACGTGGCGAGCACGCGGACGGCCTGGTCGAGAAGTTCCCAGGATAGCGGCAGCAGATTACGTCCGAGTCTTTGCGCGAGACTGCGCACGAGTTGGAGGGATGCGATGTGCAGTTGTGGCAGGACGCTCCACAGCTCGTCCCTCTCCTCACGCCCGATACTGGGGTTGAGCTGCATTGTGAGATCCCGATCGGCGACTCCGGGAGGAGGAGGCAGGACAAGAAGAATCCTCGAGACGAGGTCGGTCAGGCCGGCGACTGGGAGAGGCACAGATGACTTGGAGGAAGTGCCGACACAGTCCGACATGGCCTCGAGCAGGCCCCGGAGCCTCTGGGCTCCGGCGTCCACGCCCGCCCAGGGGGGTAACTCGTTGGGCAGCTTTCCTCCTCCCTGGGGCTCGTCGTCGGTTGGAATGTCCCGGGCTGTGTGGCCCGAAGGAGGCTCCCATGACTCTTGGACGGCACGGAAGATCTGATCGGCGGTGGCGTGCGAGTCCTTGAGCCAGCCGGTCAGGAGGCTCGCCCACTCGTCCGAGTGAGTGCTCTTCGGGGCCGTATGGTGCAGGGCGAGCATCAGACGCCGGGAGCACTCCCTTAGACTTTGGGGCACCAGCTCTGGGTCCGACATGGTCGGGGCCACATACGAGCGGACGGCTGCCCGGATCTGCCCATTAAAGGGGCGGAGGGTGGTGGGGAACAAGGGCACGATGGTGGTAAGTGCACAGATGACCGTTTCGGCCAAGCCCGCCGACGCCTTGGGCGATTTGGCGGACGACGGCGGCTTTAGGAGCTGGAGACACGCGGTCGCAAAGGTAGGAAGGGTAGGCGTCGCCATCTCGCGGATCAGGGTTGGGTACTCGTGGAGAAGAGTATATATCCTGACCAGCGTGACAACACAAAGTTCCTTTGACGACATGGGGTCAGGTTTCTGGGAGGGCGTGTCAGCGGACGGGCACCTCGCCAGGTACTTGGAAAGATGGGCAAGATGGGGGAGGCATTCACCTGGAGCATGGATAGCAGTCCGCGAACCCACGGCTCGGCCGTCCTCAAGCACTCCCAACCACCGACGTCCACCACAGCCTTGACCAGGACCATGCCGGCGAAGCGGCTGGCCGGAGTCCTTCCGTTCAGCAAAGTGGTGATGTGAGTTTTGAGCTTGTGGACAAGCATGGCGGCCTCATTTCCGCCGTCCTTGGGCCGCGCCTCGGTTGGTGCAGACAGTGAACGGCCGCAGCGAAGGACATGGTTCACCAGGCTTGGGCACACCCTGAGGAGATCGTCTGCGGGAGTCGACACGAGTTTTCGGCAGACTACCCGAAGATCGGGGGTTGCGAGAGCCATATTGACGTATATTGCTCCCTTTGATTGATTGGTAAGAGCCTTTGGTGTTGAGAGTTGTACGAGAGCAGAGGCTGGACGCATTTTTTTTTTCTCAATTGTTTTCCCCCTTCCTCTTTGGGCACCCCGATCCACCTAGTTAGCTATGAAAGGCGTTTTTGGATGAGTATCACGACAAGTTTTCAACAGCCAGCTGGAAGACTATAATAATATGTATCATTTGTATCGCGCTACATCAATTGACATGGTGTATAGAGATATTATCCCGTTCTATTTGAACCACCGACGTGCGATGAAAAGCCACGAAATTGTATCAGCGACTTCTTCACGAGGCTGTCGGGATCAATAATTGGCTCGTGCGCGGTGTCTTCCCGTGTCAGGCCCACTCCTGTGGACTCAAGGAAAATCACAAGCGTGCTTCCATGTCGATTTGGGAGCTCCGCAACCCCTGCAGCTGAATTTATTGGCAGGACGTCAGCGCCCCTTTCCATCCCACCATTGGCGCGTCCAGAGTCCAATCGTAGGAGTGGCAGCGTTGATTGTAATTATTATTTGGGTTTGATTGAGACCTCGTCGCGGAGCCTGCATACAACCCCTTCTGCCAGTGCCAGCTCAGTCGCCGACAGCCCAGGACAGCACAGCACCCGCGTGCTTCTTTAGGGCCCTCCTTCGGGTCCCTTACACCGCCTCCACCCGCCCACCTGGCCCTGCCTGGGTTACTGGCTTGGCCTGACGACGACCGCAATTTGATTGATATCCATTGAACCAGCGCCGCTCGCCTGCTGGCCCCAAGAACCGAAAGTGCTGTCCGCCCAAGCCCAACCTCGACAACCCTCGCCCGCTTGAACCTTCCCACACATCTGCCCGTCGACAATGCGGTAGTTGCAGGGCGCATCGAGTCTGCTTTTGTTCCCTTTGTGCCTACCTCGTTACCCCTGACCCAGCTCCCGTACTTGGGTTGCCGCTTCTTGCAGCAGCGAGACAGACACCATGAGTTCCATGAGTGTAAGCGCCCGCCCCTCGAGGAGAAGCCCAGCAACGCCGCCGTGATGCGACGCCTGAGAACCTGCCCGCTGACCTTGGGCGCCCTGCGCCGTTCTTCCGCACAGAAAGCCGCCGGTTATATCCAACAACTGCACGATGCTCGCTGCGAGGGCAACTGGGGCGTGGTCCCGGAGCTGGTCCGCAAAGTGCGGAAGCATGCCCCAGACAAGACTTGTACGGCTGCTTCGACCCCCCTTCGCTCGTCGCTTCGCTGCCGCCTCCTGGACTGACAAAGCCGCTTGAAGGCCTGACCCTGACTGCCGAGACCGAATGCGCCGTCGAGAAGAGTTCGGACAAGACGTTGCCCGCCGACCACCCTTCCGCCGCCGCCAACGCCGTCGGAGACACCGATGTCAACAGCCATCTGCCCAAGCTTGTGGCCGTCATCGACGAAGAGACGGGAAGCTCCGAGGATCAGTTCCAGGCCCGGGTGTGCGCCGGCTGGTTGCATTGGGTCGCCGGCGATTACAACCAAGCCCTGGCCCGCCTGCCCGAGGGCCTCGAGGCCGATCCAAACCCTGCCGAGGCCGAGGCCCAGGCTAGCGAGTGGACGCGCGTGTGTGCTCTAAAATCGGCCTATCTGAGGGCGAACTGCCTGGCCCGCAATGGGAACCGTCTCGATGCCCTGCGCGTCTTCAGGGGCGGCATCCCCTCGCTCTCCACCGACTGGTCCAGCCAGCGCTCCCGCAAGCAGATGCGGTACTGGTCAGAGCTGTTCCTGACCGAGTTCTGCATGCTGTTTAGCCATACCCTCGAGAGGGGCGAGAGCACTCTGGACGACCCCAACTCACTGGCCAGCTTCCGATCCTGGGCGAGGTACTGGGAGGTGACCAAGGGCATCCCGATCGCGGGCGGCTTTGGCTTCCGCGGCTCCGTGCCCCGACGCGAGATATGGTGCCAATACTATACCGCCCTGTCAGCGATCGTTGAGGCGGACCTCCTGTTCCCCACGGGCCACGTTGCGCCGACTTCAAACGAGCCGTCCGCACGGAGCCAGCTCAGGGCTGAGCTCAAGAGGGTCGAGACGACGTACGAGGCCCTGCTCCTCAACGAGACGGAGTTCCCCAGAGCCGACGAGGAGAGGGAGGAGATCGAAGAGTTTGCAAGGTTGGCTGTGCAGAACTGGGCCATCTTGTGCGGACGTGGCTGGCGGGAGCATGACCTGGGCCCTGGTGGAAGAGAGGCGCTCAGTCGCGGGCTGCTGGACATTCTCTACCGGGCATCCATGAAGACGTACCACTCGACGGCAATACTGCGCGGCCTTTTCACGGTCCACGTCGCCGTCGCAGAGTTCGACCTTGCCTTCAAGGCCTTCGACTCATATCTGGAACTGGTCAAGAAAGGGAAAGCACGGGTGCAGAAGTCCGGACACGTCGAGCCTAGCCTTGACGACGAGTCGACGGCACTCGAAACAATTTCCGCCTGCATCGCCACCCTTTGTCGGTACGGCCACAGACGGGCTGCTGAGAAGGCCAAGGATCTGGCCGCAGAGTTGGAAGAAATTGTAAGCAAGGCGCCAACCCCCACCCCACGCGACTCGGCGAGTCCTCTCCGCGAGGATGAGAGCGCCGTGGGTGCCGTCGGGGAGAAGGTGCCGCCAAGGATCATCGCCCTCGCCTGGCAGGCTGTCGGCCTGGCCAACGCGCAGTGGGCCCGGATGACGTACGATTCCTCGACCAGGGGTGACATACAGAGCAAGGCTATTGCCGCCTTGAAGAAGTCGCTGTCTCCGGACCTTGCTCGATCGAGTGATGTCAGGAGCGTGTTTGCGCTCAGCGTCCTGCTTGCTGAGAAGAGGGAACTGTCGCCGGCGATCGAGCTGGCCAAGACGGCGCTGCTCCTCGGCAAGTCCTCGAGCACGGAACACGACCTGCAGAACGGACCTCACTGGAGAGAAAGAGCCCTGATTCCTATATGGCACCTGCTCTCGCTACTGCTGAGTGCTCGTCAGGATTTTGTTCTAGCCGCCCGTGCCTGCGAGGGTGCATTTGAGCAGTTTCAGGATCCCGCAGTGCTCTTTGGTAGCCACAACGTGTTCCGCAGCGATCATCTTAACGAGGCCGAGGCAGGGCAGGACGGCGGGTCCGAGTTCGGGAGGGGGCTCGTGGATGACATGGACGACTTTGAGAAGGAGAGCGTGCTGGAGGTCAAGATGACCCAGCTGGCGCTTGTGGAGCTCCTCGAGGGCCCCAAGGTTGCGGTCAACGCCAGCCTGGAGCTGTTGAGCCTCTTCAACAGGCTGTTTGGCAGTGCAGAGCCGAAACCGGCCCAGGACACGCTGAAGGTGCAGGAGATCCCCAAGAGCTCGTCTGGGACTATCCGTAGTCTCAGAGGCAGCATATTTGGCAGGGGCGAGAGGGCTGGGCGGCCGGGCACGCGTCAGGCGTCAGCGCCAGCGAGCGAAGGGCGGCCCGACAAATCGTCACGGCCCCAGACGATGCAGACTGTGGCCAGCCTGGGAGCGCCAACCATCCAGGTGACAGAGGAGAACGGGGCCATGGCGGGCGGGCGAAAGAGGAGCCAGTCCGGCAAGCGGCACAACAGCCTTCGTAAGAGAGAGAACAGCGTCGCCAGCCGCAGGCGTGCTTCCAGCGTCGGACCCATAGCGCCTCAGGCCACCGTCGTTGACGGCGAGAACTACTTCACCCCGATCGAGGGCGGCTCGGGGATAGACTTCTTTTCCGCGGCAATGAAGCGTTCGCCCTCGATCGGCGGTCCGCCCGTCTCCCTGACCCGGACCTTCTCCCAGACAGAGTCCTTCGCATCATCCCCCAGAGGATCGCGGCTGTCGGGCGACGACTTCTCGGCTCTACCAAGGGGCTCGTTGGAGTACAGCTCAAAGCTGCTGCCCCTGGTTCAGTTCCCCAGGGCGCACGAGCAGCGACGGAGGGGCACCGTTCTGGTCAAGGTCTGGCTAATGATCGCAGGCTTCTACCGGCGCGCGACTCTCTACGATGACGCCAAGGCCGCCATCGCCGAGGCGCAGAGGCTGGTGCAGGCCCTCGAGGCTGAAGCCAACAAGAATGGCGCCCCAACTTCAGCCAACGATGTTGGCTGGGCAAACACCAAGAGCATTGACGAGCTGTGGGCTGATGTCTGGGCTGAGGTGAGTAGTATAAATCCCCGACCCCCCTTCCGGTTGCGTGGGGGGCCTGCCTAGGCCATCCTGTGTGAAAGCTGCTAAAGAGAATGGTTATACTATCAGATGGGTAGCCTCGACGTCGCACGGGACGTGCCTTATTCGGCCCGCTCAGGCTTCGAGTCGGCGCTGACACACTTTCCCGACCACCCCGGCGCCATCGTGGGTCTTTCAAACATTCTTTTGGATATTTATAGCGAGAAGCTCCCTCCGCCGCCGGTTGTGCCACCCCTACAACTCGTAGGCACGTCGGCGGCTGGGGCGGAGACGGTGACGCACTCTGCCGAGTCCGCCATTTACCCCAAGCCGGCAGGTAAGCCTGCGCTCCCGTCAGCGGCCCTAGGGCTGAATGAGGCTACGGCAACACGCAAAGCCAATGGGCGGCCCGGGCGAGGCAAAGGGAACAGCGACTACGCCTCGTCTCCTGGCGGCGTGTCAGAAGTGTCGGCGGCGGCGGCGGCCGGAGAAGGAAACGAGCTTGTGCCGCCGTACAAAGCAACGTCGCTCCCGATGGTGGACCGGCTGGCGGCGCGTGACCGGGCGTACGCGATGCTGTCTGGGCTGACCAAGCTTGGGTCGGGTTGGAACAACTCGGAGGCGTGGTTCGCGCTCGCGCGGGCGCACGAGGAGAGCGGGCAGCTTGACAAGGCCAGGGAGGTGCTGTGGTGGTGTGTAGAGCTCGAGGAGGGCTTTGGCGTGCGGCGCTGGAGCTGCGTCGGCAACGGGGGTTACCTCCTCTGATGTGCTTTGGGATTTCTGCTTTCTGCCGGCGCCGCCTGTTGTCCGCTTGAGCTCTCCATCTTCTTTGACCAAGTGTATTCATCTTCTGTTCTTTTTGTTGGAAGCCGGGGCGGTTAGAATGGATATATATGCATATACATCTAATAATACTGACACTTGGGGGAATCAGCACGAATCGGGCGATGTGATGTTGGGCAGTCTTTTGGTTGTCGCACTGAGCGCTGAGCGTGGGGGACCTTGGTTTTGTTTTGTTTTCGGATTCTGGGCATCGCAACGTCATTCAAGCGCCAATTGTGAATTTTCTCACTGCATCCGCCGGGAAAATCCACCACCACCTCCTACCTACTATTGGTGCTCTAACTTTGGTAGCCGGACTGAACCATGGCAGCCCCGACAGACGCCGGCGTAGACACAGTATCAGCAGTAGCAACAACAGCAATAGCAGAACCAGCAGCGGCGAACCCCGACGACGACGCGATGGACCTGACGCTGATCGTTGCGGCCACGCGCACCATGGGCATCGGGCTCGCCGGCGCGCTGCCGTGGACGGGGCTCAGGCGGGAGATGGCCTACTTTGCGCGCGTCACCAAGCGCGCGCCGCCCGGAGCCGTCAACGCCGTCAACGCCGTCGTCATGGGCCGCCGGACCTGGGACAGCATCCCGCCCCGCTTCCGCCCGCTCAAGGGCCGCCTCAACGTCGTGCTCAGCCGGGCCGCGCCGCCGCCGCTCAACAGTGTGGGGCAGGGAAAGGATGGTGAGGAGGATGGGGATGGGGATGGGGATGGGGAATCGCCCGTCGTCCACGCCCGCTCGCTGCCCGAGGCGCTCGAGTACCTGGCCCGCCAGCGGCGGCCGCCCCTGGGCCGCGTCTTCGTCATTGGCGGGGCGCAGATCTACGACGCGGCGCTGGCGCTGGAACCCCCCGCGGCGACGGTGCGGCGCGTGCTGCTCACCAGCATCCTGACCGACTTTGAGTGCGACACGACCCTGTCGTCGCTCAGGCTGGGGGCGGCGGCCGAGGGCGGCGGCGGCGGCGGCGGCGAGTGGAGGAGGGCGCCCAAAGAGCGGCTCGACGCCTGGGCGGGCGAGGCGGTGCCCGAGGGCGTGCAGGAGGAGAACGGGACGTCGTACGAGTTTCAGATGTGGGAGAGGGAGGTGGCCGAGGCGACATAGGCCGGTGGTGGTGGATCGGATCACTGTAGTCTCTGCGGGCAACGGCGGCCATTTTCCGGATTTTTCTCTATACCGATGTGGTTTCGTGGAGATGGATATCATAACAGCCTGGTCCCCCCATGTGTTTGACCTTCCTGCAAGCCTGCCTAGGTAGCCCCGGGATCATCCTCACCTAGACAAAAAAAGAAAAACGCCAGCCTGCCTTTTTTTCCCCTTGCCCCTCCCCAGCTCCGGTGTACGCCAACTGCCTTATACCTCGAGTGGGTATATGCTGGGGTACATCCTACAAGCTTTTTTTCATATCCATTATGTACAAGACATGGGTGATTTTACATTGACCAATAAAGGGCATCTGCAGCATAGACTGTGCTTATATGCCCCGAAGCGGCCGAGACGAGACGGGGAAAAGAAGAAGCAAAAGCTCTTGCTCATGTGAACCATGGGCAATCAAACATCACGCGGTCCCAGCAGCCCTGGCAGCAGGGCTTTTCGCGCCGGGCTTGGCAGCAGCGCCGCCGGGGAGGACGCCGACGAGCTCCTTGGCGGGCACGTCGACAAAGGGCAGCTCGGCGGCGGGCGAGGCCTCAAAGGCCGAGGTGGCGCGGGCGACGACGTCGGAGTCGGGGACGTGGTCGAGGCGGAAGACGGTGGCGCGCATCCAGGCGACGACGGCGGCGAGGCGGCGCAGGTCCAGCTCGGGCTCGGGGCGGGCCTTGAAGAGGTTGCGCCAGACGGCGGCGGCCAGGACGGCGTCGCCGCGGACCATGCCCTCGTCGTAGGCGAGCACGAGGCCGCGCCAGGCCAGGAACAGGTCCTTGAGGTGGTGCTGGCGCAGCGAGCGCGACGACAGGCCGTGCTGCACGTCCATGCGCTCCTCGGCCTCGTAGAAGAAGGCGTCTACGAGCTGCTTCTGCACGTTCTGGTACTGCTCCTTGTCCAGGCACCGGAACCGCACGATGGCGAGGTACATGTGCAGCATCGTCACTTGCGCCCAGGTGCTAAAGGTCGGGAGGAGGCCGAGGTCTGCGGTGGGCGCGGGACGGTGTCAGTGGGCCGGCGATGCAGCACAACAGTGCTATATGTAAGCAGGGACCTCAGGACGGGCAGAGAAATGACTGACCCTGATGCCACGGCCCGCCCCCCACTCCAATCTCCTCGCCGTCCTCTGTCCTCCGGATCGTGTCCTTCTTGCGCGCCTCGGGCGAGATGGTGTAGGCGGCGCGGGCCGAGAAGAACTTGTGCGTGTCCTGGACGTGGACGTAGGTGTCGTATGCGCCGACCATGTTTGACCCCTTCCTCTTCTCGGCCGCGCGCAGGATGATCTTTTGCATGCTCGCCGTGTCCTCTGGCAGCTTTTGCTTCCGCGGGGCCGCCGTACCGTGCAGGGACCGTCGGGGTGCGTGTGCCGCCGGCCATGTCCTCGGTGCTGCCCCCTGTCTCGTCTGTGATGCGTGTGCTGCTGCTGCCGCGGCGGTTGCTGCGCCTCTGCTGGCCTGCTGGCAGCGACGGGCGGAGAGGGGCCCAAGGCTCGGCGGCACGGCCCTGCAACTCCAAAGAGATGCCATTTGCGGCACCGGGATCGTGCGGTGGTGGTGGGAGCAGGGAGTCGAGGTCAACAGCGTCCCACGGTTGGGAGTGCGGTTTCAGGGCGTCACCATGTTTCTGCCAGTATCAATTCTCACATCCCACCCGACCGCCTGGAAATCTGCAATTCAGGCGGGGACCCCCCACTGAGCAAACAACGCCATCACGTTTGCACGTGTTTCGATTGGCGATTGGCTGAGAGGGGCAAAGGACCCTAACCCTGGCAAGCTGATATGATAACAAGGGATGGAGAAGTGAAGCCGACAACCCCGGATGCCGTCTGTCAGAGATTAGTTGGAAATAGAGCCATGCCATATGTTTATACAATATCGAGGTTTTATATACGTTGGATACATGCTGTTTTATTTCAACTTGGAAAAGACAAGTGATGCGTTCGTTCCTCCAAAACCAAAACTGTTCGAAACCACCACGTTGACCTTTTTATCCTGTGCCATGTTTGGCACAAAGTTGAAGTCGGCTCCCACATCTGGTGTGTCCAGACCCAAGGTCGGAGGCACGCGATCCTACGTTTCTGGGTCAGATGTTGCTGGCTCCCCACATGTGCGGCGGCGAGGCAAACAGGGGCTGCCGTCACTCACCTCTGCAACGGCCAGGATGGAAAACACCGACTCGACGGCGCCAGCGGCACCAAGGAGGTGGCCGGTCGAGCCCTTTGTGCCACTCACGGTAACCTGGGACTCCCTCTCGACGCCGTCCTCGCCGAGCATGAGGGTGCGGATGGCGGCGACCTCAGCGGCGTCCCCGATGCGGGTGCCGGTGGCGTGGGCGTTGAAGTAGTCGACGGCCGTGGGGCGGATGCCGGCGGCGCGCAGCGCCCTGCGCATTGCCAGCAGTGCGCCCGAGCCGTCGGGTCGCGGCGCCGTCATGTGGTGGGCGTCGCCGCTGCAGCCGTACCCGCGCAGCTCGGCCAGGATGTCGGCGCCGCGCGCGCGCGCGTGTTCCAGCTCCTCGAGCACGACGACGGCGGCGCCCTCGGCCATGACGAAGCCGTCGCGCGAGGCGTCAAAGGGCCGGCAGCCGGCGCCCGCCGTCGAGAGCGAGCGCGAGCGGGCAAAGGCGGCAAAGGCCAGCGGGTGGATGCACGACTCGGAGCCGCCGGCGACCATGACGTCGGCGTCCCCAAAGGCGACGAAGCGGGCGGCGTCGCCGATCGAGTGCGCGCCCGTGGTGCAGGCCGTCGTGGCCGTGTGGTTGGGGCCTTGGAAGCCATGCCGCATGGCCACATGGCCGGCTGCGAGGTTTATCAGAATCTTGGGCGCGAAGAGCGGAGACACCTTCCTGTAGCCCTACGGATCGGCGGGTGCGAAGATCAGTGCAAACGGTCTCAGCATCTCCTCTTCTCGCTTTGACGCCCTCTTCATCGCTGCCCACATGTTCGTTCACTGCGGTGAATCTCACGTCTTTTTCAAATGCGAGACTGGTGCTATAAATATCGTCGAGGTTCCCTATGCCGCTGCCCAGACAAACCCCCGTGGCCTCCAGATCGTCCTGCGCCGTCGGCCTCCAGCCAGCGTCGTTGAGGGCCATCTCGGCGGCCGCGACAGCGTACTGGCAAAAGGTGGACATGCGACGCTGGTCGGACGCCTCCAGCCAGTCCGACGGGCGCCAAAGCCCGGACAGCTCACCTGTTTGGTGGCCACCGGCCCCGCCATGGCTCCCATTCCCATCCAGGGCAGGGGCCGTCGGGACGAGGCCGGCGACAGTGCTGGGAATGTCCTTCCATTTGCTGCGTGGCTCGAAATGGGATATACTCTGGATGCCAGACTCCCCAGCGAGCACACCCCGCCAGCATCGACGGGCGCCGACGCCAAGAGGGGTGACGGCGCCGATTCCCGTGACGACGACGCGGCGGAGGGACATGTCCCTAAAGAAACCACGCGTTCTCGATGTTAGCAGAAGCCGTCACCTCGACGTGGGCTCATGACGTGATCAATGCAGTCAACACAGCGATGTTTGCGTTCGCAGGGGGGTGCTCGCGAGGGGTGTTTGGAGGAGGGATGTGTCTCGCTCGCGAAGCAGGTACCATCTGTGGCCGTCGACTCGAGTCAAAGTTAGGGCACAGGCCAATCGAGCTTTAGACCCTGCAGAGTTATCGAGGTCAATCGGTTGGAAGCGGTACCCACAGTTCCCACAGTACCTGGTAGCTTTGTGCCGTTCTGGGATTAGCGCGCTGGGCCCACTGGCATGGAACTTCCCTCGATCAAATGGACCGAATTGGAAGCGTGAAAGCATGCTTGGACCCAACTCTATCTGACAGACGTTTTGACAGAGGGCTTTGTCTCTTATATTGACTGGCCACACTACAAGAGGCCCAAGCTTGCCAACCGCCACCGCAACTCACATAGTTCACCTCGGCAGGATATACAGCCAGAAAGCTCAAGCCACATCAATCAACTACGCTTGCATCTCCCATTGTCGGCGCGTCCCAACGTTCGAAACATTGCACGCACCCTTGGCAGACTCGACACAACGCTGGCCTCACCGCGAGTCACGGGGTCGCCCTGTGCTTATTTGGGCGCTGCTGTGCCTTACCATGCGCCCGGACCTAACCCAATCCGGCCACTGATCCCTGCACGTTTCACCCGTATAAAAGACCACGGATTCCATGTGTCGGGTTAGCGATATCGTCCAGACATCCTCAACTCTGCAGACTCTCGGGTCTGGCTTGAACCTTGTTGGCATCGAGCCGTGCCAGGAAAGCGGCCTCTGCTGCGCGTCTGGTCCAGAAGGGCTCATTAGACGACCACCTCGCATATAGACTCCCCCCCTCTCCGCAGCGCCTCCGTGTGATGTCCTGACGGTCTTCGCTGCTTGCTCCTACCAAAAAGAAACGCGCGCTGCTGCTGTATCTTGGTGTGCCCATAGTGTCTGCTAGCAGACATGGCCCCAACACCCTCATCCAACAAGGGTGGCAAGCCGTCTGAGACGGCTGCCACCATAGAGATGACCAGCTTGCGCGAGCGTGGTAGCCAGCACGGCGAAGGCCTAAAGACGACGTCTGCGGAGCGCTGGGGTGAGTCTAGCATGCGTCCCCCGACGGACGAGCCCGACGACTACGGGGTCGAGGGCGATTCGGAAGCAGGGTCAGAATACGAACTTCTCCTAGACCCCAACCTGCCCGACGAGCTGCACCGCGACGACTCTGGCGGCAGCGACACCTCGGGCGCCAAGGAGGAGGAGGAGGGCGGCGCGGCAGCCGAGGACTCGCCCTACCCCGAGGTGCGCGCCGCGGTGCGCAACTACGACGAGGAGATGCCGTGCAACACGGTGCGCGCCTGGACCATCGGCCTGTTCCTGTGCGTCATCGGCGCGTCCATGAACACGCTCTTCTCGCTGCGCTCGCCCTCCATCAGCCTTGGCGCCCTGATCGCGCAGATCATCGCCTGGCCCCTGGGCCACGGCTGGGCCCGCGTCATGCCGGCCCGCCGCTTCAGCTTCTTCGGCATCCCCTGGTCGCTCAACCCGGGGCCCTTCAACATCAAGGAGCACTCCATCATCGTCGTCATGGCGAGCGTGTCCTTCTCCGTCGCCTACGCCACCGACATCATCCTGGCCCAGCTCGTCTTCTACAAGCAGAACTTTGGCATCCCCTGGCAGCTGCTGCTGACCGTCTCGACCCAGTCGCTCGGCTACGGCATCGCCGGCATGATGCGCAAGTTCCTCGTCTACCCGGCCTCCATGATCTGGCCCGGCAACCTGGTCTCGGTCACGCTCATGAACGCCATGTACGAGGCCGCGCCGCCCAAGGACCCGACCATCATTGGCGGCTCCATGCCGCGCTACCGTTGGTTTGCCATCATGACCCTGTGCTCGTTTGTCTACTACTTCATCCCGGGCTTCCTGGCCCAGTTCCTGAGCGTCTTTGCTTTTGCCACCTGGATCGCCCCCAACAACCCCGTGGTGAACCAGCTGTTTGGGGGTGTCACTGGCCTCTCACTGCTGCCAATAACCTTTGACTGGTCGCAGATTGTCGGCTTTGTCGGCTCTCCCCTGATTCCGCCGTGGTGAGTGGCTATGGGGGGGTTTACTGTGGTGCTACTGTGGTGATACTGTGGTGTTTACTAACACACCCCAAAAATAAAAAAAAGGCACGCCATCGCCAACACCATGATCGGCGTCGTCACCTTCCACCTCTTCGGGGCTTCAGTCCTCCAGTACACGGGCACGTGGTACGGCCAGTTCCTGCCCATCAGCGACTCGAGCACCTACGACAACACGGGCGCCAAGTACAACGTGACCCGCATCCTGACCAAGGACTTTACGCTCGACGAGGAGGAGTACAAGAAGTACTCGCCGCTTTTCATCAGTACCACCTTTGCCATGGCCTACGGCCTGTCCTTCGCTGCCATCGCGTCCCTCATCGTCTACACGTGGCTGCACCACCGCAAGATGATCTGGCAGCAGTACAAGAACGTGTCGCGCGAGGGCGACGACATCCACATGAAGCTGATGCGCAAGTACCGCGAGGCCCCCACGTGGTGGTACATGGGCCTGTTCGCCATCATGCTCGCCCTCGGCTTCGTCACCGTGCTGGCCTACCCGACCAACATGACCTGGTGGGCCTTTTTGCTCGCCGTCGCCATCTCGTTCGGCTTCGCCCTGCCCATCGGCATCATCCAGGCCGTCACCAACAACCAGATCGGGCTCAACGTGCTCACCGAGTTCGTCTACGGCTACATCCAGCCCGGCCGCCCCCTGGCCCTCATGATCTTCAAGACCTTTGGCTACATCACCATGTCGCAGGCCCTCAGCTTCGTGTCGGACCTCAAGTTCGGCCACTACATGAAGATCCCGCCCCGCACCATGTTCATGTGCCAGGTCGTCGCCACCACCTTCTCGTGCTTCATCCAGGTCGCCGTCCTCAACTTCGCCCTCGCCCACATCGACGGCGTCTGCACCCCGACCCAGCCCGAGCGCTTCACCTGCCCCGGCGGGCGCGTCTTCTTCTCCGCCTCGGTCATCTGGGGCCTCATCGGCCCCGCCCGCATGTTCTCGCCCGGTCAGATCTACTCGGGCCTCTTCGTCTTCTTCGGCGTCGGCGCCGTCCTGCCCGTCGTGCTCTTCTACGCCGCCCGCCGCTGGCCCGCCTCGCCCCTCAAGTACGCCATGGCCCCCTTGATCTTTGGCGGCTCCGCCGCCATCCCGCCCGCCTCGCCCCTCAACTACCTGTCGTGGGGCATCGTCGGCTACCTGTTCCAGCACCTGATCCGCAAGCGCCACTTTGGCTGGTGGAGCCGCCTCAACTTTCTGACCTCGTCCGGCCTCGACCTCGGCCTCGCCCTCGCCACCCTCGTCATCTTCTTCGCCTTCACCCTCAACAACATCGACCCGCCAAAGTGGTGGGGCAACACCGTCGTCCGGACCACCATGGACTTCCAGAACAAGGCCGTCAGGGCCCACGTCGCCGACGGCCAGACCTTTGGGCCCACGTCGTGGTAGGGGTCCATCATATATATGCCTGTATATATGGTATGTCGGCATTTTGGCATATAACAACCTAAAAAAAACATCCTTCCACACCTATGGAACCTTTTTTTCCCCATATATAGCCTAGCATTCTCTCCTCACATTTATCCATTACATATCAGACATAGAGGAGTATCCTTGGCGGTGTTTGGACATTTTGTAGCCATAAATTATACGACCAGCATTGCGATTCTGAACCACTTTTTTCCCCGGCTCTAAAAGCCCCATTGACGCCAATAAGTGATCAGACCTAACCACCCCCAGACAGCCAGCTGCGACGTGATTCTGCCACCATTCATGATATCACCAAGTGTACGCCCAACACCAGATGCGCGTCAACATTCCAAATGCAAAAAGAGCTCAAGTAGATATGGGGTATGCGCCAGAACAATAGGAGATAAACCCGCCAGGAAAGACCATGGGAGAAAATGATGACAAAATAAAATACGAATAATAAAGCCCGCTCCATCGAGCCACCTTTGTTTTTCCTTATCCTCAAATCATGGATGCGCCATCCTCCCGTGGGCCAGTCAGACAAGAGCTGAGGAGGACGCGGCGAGTCCGTACTAGCCTTTTGATACGGATGGGACAGTGTACAATGGGGGTGGTGGTTGGGGGTACAGGGGCGGCTGTTCTGGCGGGGGCGCTTGGTCGTGTTGTGGAAAATGCTGTTGTCGATGGGGCAACTGGCCTTGTCCACCGGAGATCATAGACGCCGAGCTCGACATCGCAAAATTGGTATGGGTCTGAATGCTCTCTGCAGAGGCCTCTGCGAGCGCTGAAAGAAGAGGGTTCTTGCATTTGCCGCAAAGATATCTCAGAAGACCCAACAGGTGTTTGGCCTGCGCATCCGACTCGGCAGCGTAGATGAAATACTCAAGTCTTTTTTTTTTCATGTTTCCAAAGTCAGCCAGCCCGTCCACGTCCAGGATAGAGCCACTCAAAGAGAGAAAACAAACTTACGCTGAGCGCATCGCTTGAGCTTGTCCGTCCCCTCGTAATATTGGGTCGTGGCATGACTTCCACGCATCCGAGGAGATCTCCTGGCTCAAAACGACCAATGCAGATGTGAACATCGCGTTTCTAGCACCGCCACCGATCAGCATGGGCCTTCATCTCGCAAGTTGCCAAGTGTGACGGGGTTATGTGAACCTACACAACGAAAGGATTCCGCCTTGGTAGTAAGCCGTTCCTAAGTGCACCCAACACCACCGAGATGGCCACATAGGACGCCTCGATGGCGTTCCGGGGGAAAACCTCACCGCCTCCCGCAAGCGGATGTGCCTCGTATGAGCCCTTGTAATGTGCGTCAAAGAGTACAAAGGGTCGACCTAAAAGATTGATGCAGTGGAGCTTGAGCAGCTTCCCAAGCACGAGATGCATGGCAAGCCGTCTCTCCTCGGCCGGCGTGGCCGGCGGTGGCACGGCGGCATCGTGATTGACTATGATTGCGCTCACCGACGGCCAGCCATGGACGTGGGTGGCTATCTCGGCGGCGGTGGCTGCCGACGTTTCCGGCATTGCGTAAATCTTGGACAAGATCATACTCAGGAGGTTCACGCCGCGGATAACGGGAGGCATACTGGTCTGGTCGCCCTCGGTACCCTCGGGCGGCGCGGGAAATGCGGTGCCGTCGCTGACAACTGGCGGGCGGCCAAGCTGGGCGGCCACGAAGCGGTCGAGTACCAAGAGGCTGCGCCATACGTTCCTCCTTAGTCGGCCGGTGCTCGGGTTGAAGCTCCACGGCCGGCCGTTCTTCATCATGTCGTCGTATCGCATAAGCAGATGCTCTTCTCGATGCATCCCAAGCAGCTGCGCCAGCCAGCCAGCCCTCCCTTCACACAGCTGTCAGCATCCATCTGCGGCAGCGTGTGAAATAAGATGGTGGCGCAAACCTATATAGTCGTATCCTTCATTTCTTCTCACGACACTAAGAGCGTAGAGGCACTTGAGAAGAAGGACTCGCACTGTCCAGAGGTCCTTTCCCGAGTCGTCGACCATGACATTGGCACTTTGGAAGTATGCCTCGGCATCAATATCGCCAACCATGGTCTCCGCCTTGGGCCCGGCCAGAACACGGCCAAGCGCCAGGGTAAGATAGAGAAGCGCGCGACCCCGGTTATCACGGTTCCCTTCTGCTATTATGTTTCGGACCGTCGCGTCCAGCGCCTCTTCCTCGTCGTATACCTGGAGGAGACCGTAGGTCTGTTTAGGAATGTTAGCGGGTTTTGTGGGTATTGACCGCTGGTGCTTGATCCTTGTTGGCGTTTCCCGTTTTGACGTACTTACATTGATTAGATATTCTTCAACCAGAGCATATGTCACGCTCTCGTTCGGAAGGTCGATTGGTAGCGCCATAGATGGGTGCAAGAGTGAAGGTTGTAGTTCCATGAGCCTGAACCTCAGATCAAGCGGTCGATGGAGGGGATTCGGCATAAAGGTGACCTCGAGGACGTTTCGGAGTGCATCCAGATATGCGAGATGGCTGGAGCAGCCTAAAAGATCTGGGTGAAAAATGAGCCGGGGCAGGCTGGCCATCAGCAAAGGGAAGGACGATACAGCTCGAGAACGAGACAACGCTCGACCAGGCCAGGATAGGTATCATGTGCAAGAACAGCATTCGGGCTACAACTCACTGACGGTCTCTCCTTCCGGGAGAGAGAGCCCCAGCATTCTTTCAGTGGCGTAGAGGTGAGAAGGGACGCGGACTTCTATCCATGAAGTTGGGCCTTCCAACGGGGCCTCTGGCCAAGCACTGGCTGCCGGCGCCGAGTCGGCTGATCGCATGTTTCCATGCGGGGACGCGCTGGAGGCGGCTTCCATGATGGGCTGCGGAGGAAGGCTGGCTTCCGGACTGAGACCCGAGGCGGACCCTGAGCCACCGACGGGCGTAGAGGTAGTCAAGGCCGCGATGGAGAACGGGGTCGATGCGTCCATGCTGCTGCCGCTGGGAGAGTCGGTCTTGTCCGGCGACGATGGCTGCGGAAAGGCTGGAGGGGTAACGGCGGTAGCATCGTCGAGTCGTCGTCTCGCCGAAGGGCCAGCTGCTGCCTTATTCCGGCTCATGCCGTCGTAGGAGCAGTTGTTGGCGTTCTTCTTGCGGACGCAGAGGGAGCATGGTTTTTGGCCGTCGCACTGCATGGGTCGTGGCGTGCCCCGAGTACGGAGTTGAGCCAGGTGTAAGCAGGAGAACCAAGTGCCACGACGTCACGAGAGAGTTCGCAAGTTGCGGGACAGGGGGGCAGAGCGGGTAGTGACATGACGGCAGGGTATCGACGGCAGCGCACCTTTTGCTTTCGCGTCTTGCAGAAGCCGCAGGCCTGGGCGATGCGTATCCGCTTGTCATCCGGCACCCTTGGACGGGTCATGATGGATGGCCGGGCGGCCGTACAGCTACTGTTCCTGCTGCTGCTGCTGCTTCTGCTCCTGCTGCTGCCACTGCTGCTCCTGCTCTCGGGTAGGGCTTGACCAACGCATACAGTTCCATCAGAGCATAGCAGGCAGGGCGAGGCAGAGAGTCGGCTGACGGTCCGGGCGGGGGGTCAAGAGCGGGTCTGCGGGTGCAGGTCACTTGGGCTCCGAGACCCGGCCGACGGCTGGCTGGCGCGTTGTCTGGGCGTGGCTGCGGCGGAAGGGCTCCGGTTGGTTGCTGTTGCGTGGTCCTCACGCGGAGAGAAGGCGAGACCAGGCTGCCAGCCCTAGCTCCGATGCTTGCAGGGAAGTAAGAAAGTCTAGACCAGATACCGAGGGGGAAGGCGGCTTCAGGAGCCAGTGGGGAGGCCCAATGGGTCCACCCTGACCAGGGGGTTCAGCCTGCCGCGGCCGGAGTGCTGCCGTCTAGCTGACAGGGTGGAGGGGATCGCTTCTTGGAGGCAAATAGAAAGTACAGGCTGCGCAGGCGGTGTCCAGCAGCAGCCGTGGGAGTGAGCCTCCGCCTTGCGGATGGGCTCAGCCGTTTCTAGGAGCTCGGGGCTGATGGGCCCAGACACAGACCAAGGAACAGTCGCAGAAAGCTTGATTGAGGTGATTGTTGGATGGAGGCTGGAGCTGGGCTGGAGCGGCAGGCAGCGGCACCTAGACAGGCAAAAACCCTACCAAGCTCTTCAGAGAAGAAGAAAAACACAGCCACCTAACCCACCTGCATCACAGGCAGTCATGGGTTTACAGGCAGCAGAGGCTCGGATCTGGTGCGGAGTCTGAGGAAAAGGGGAGAGACTCGAAGGTTATGATAAAGCCGGGCGCCGCACTGGGCCTGAGCCCTCAGTGAAAGGTCCATGGTCTGAGCAAGGGGTGGAGGGGTGCCCCTGCGCAGAGCGAAGCGACTCAGGCAGGAGCCGTTGTTTTTGCCTCTTACAGCCTAGACGGAGCCCCTGCCCACAAGCAATGGTGGGGTGCACGGACGAAGGAGCCACACGCGCAAGCACGCGTGAGCCCGGCCAATTCGCAAATCGATCTTGCCCCCAGCCCACCGCCAGCCCACTGCCAGGGCTGCCGCTTGGACCAGCAACCAACCCCTGCAAACCGCCATGGCATTGTCCGGTTTGGCATGCCGGCTGGACACCAGGAAATGGACTGTCTAATGCCGGCCCGTCAGTCTAGCATGGCCTGCGCGGCTATCGCGCCCATCCAGGTTGCCAGGTCCCGACGCGGCAACCCTAAAGTTTGCAACTGGATAAGTGTTGACCCTGAGTGGGAGCAGGTAGCCCAAGCCCAACACTAAAGGTACGATTTCACGACAAACGCCTCCCACGCGGATTGGATGCCATTTCCCCTCGGTGGATTATGTTCATGTTAGTGTGATGCATGGCGTCGAGGAGGCGGACGCTATTCCAAATGCTTCCACTGCGCGGTGCTAACTCGTCCCCGGCGTCTCGCTGCCACAGTAAGGCAGAGAGTCAAGGTGCCACAGCAAGACCAAGAGCCCAGCATGTTGGTTCAGCATTGCGATCTGGCAGTGGCACCCAGACCACATCAACGAACCGCTGATTTCGCTGCAGATGTCCAAGAGGTCATCAGTCATATCTCCTGTCTACCGGCGCCAAAGCATAGCCTCGCATCGGCCGGCTTGAGCCTAGCATCCGCACGAACAGATCCCTTACTAGTGCAACCCTCGATCAAGACCCACTAGAGATCATCAGACGGCGCTGATGCAGGACCCCCACCCGCGCACCTCCTTCGACCCACTTTATTTTTTCTCGTCGAGCTCCGCCATCGCGACGTCTCGGCCAACGCCTGGAGCCAGCAGACTTTGAAGCCTTCTGCGCTGGCTTGAAAAGCCGCCGCCACATGTCTGCCTAGGCAAGGCAGGCACCCCTAGAGGTACTCTCACAGCAAGCCTTCGAACTGGGTATGTCAAGCTCAGTTGGGCTACCTACCCATGCGATCTAGATAGGCCCCAAACCCCAAACACCCCGCCATCTCCTCGAGTGGCATCCAAGGCTAACTCGCTCTACACAGACCATGTTTAGACAGCAGGCTATCCTCGGTCTCGCCCGCCGGTGCGGCGTGTGCCAGCGCCCTGCCGGCCGAATACTACCATGGCTCCCGGGCCACACCGCAGGGCATGACACTTCCCGCCTCCTCCATCGCGCTGGCCCGACCCAGCGTCTGCTTTCATCGGCCCCGCCGACCACTGTCGCCCCCGAAGTCGGCGCCGGGAAGGCCAGGTCCTTCGCCGACTCGCTAGCTCGCAAAAACGCCGCTACCATACTCTATGAAGCCCCCTCGCATACTCTCTCCCGCTTCTCGAGCTACACTGCCGGAATCTTCTGCTTCCTCTTCTCGGGCTATCACTACGCGACCGGCATGGCGAACCCACCAGAAGACATTGCCTGGTTTGTGCCGCACCTTTATGGTATTGTGGTCCTGGCCATGGGCTCGATGGGGACATTTTTCATCAGTGGCGCCGGCCGCATCGTGCGCGTCATCAGTGCCGTGCCCCGCGCCTCCGAGGTGGCCGCAAAAAGCGCCACCCCTGAGACTCGCACCCTGTCCCCCGCCCAGAAGGCCACTGCTGCTGCTGCTGCCGCTGCCGACGCTGCCCGGGGGGTCTCTCCGATACAGCTTGAGTTGAAGGCGAGCCGATATGTGCCCTTCATCGGTCCCGCGGTGCTGCGCGTGGACGCCGACAAGGTCGTGTTCCCGGCGCGACTTCAGCAGTTGCGCGAGATGGTCGAGTACCTGAGGCAGGGAGGCTCGCCTGGAGGCAAGCCAGTGAGCGACACCACGCGGGCGCGGCTTGCCGAGATGGCGCTCCGCCGAGCCCGGGCCGAAGCCGAGGCCAAGTACGACAAAGAGCACCTGATGACCTCGCCGTTCAGGCACCTGGGCCAAGCCGTAAAGGAGACATTTGTCGCGACCCGGAGAGCGCTGACCGGCGAGGGCTTCGTCAGGATCAAGGTGAACAATGTGCGCTACAAACTCGATGTCACTAGTGCCTGGGCCCTGGACGGCGGGAGGGCCCTCGACCGACTGATCACCATCGACGAAAACATGCAGCGCCGCCCCAAGCCGAAGCAATAATCTCTACGACTACAAGGTCGCAACGAGGACCACACAGGCCTTGGCCTTGTCGGCTAACCGACATGATTCTGCTCTTGCGGCTGGCTGCCCTGTACGATTAATTCCCTCTGCCTGTCGCTCAGGTTCGGAACTGTAAATACACGAAGAAGCGGTGTGAGAAGCCAGGCGCTTGCGCAGCCTTTGATATGAAATAATTTTCACGTTTCAACCCGGCGCTTAGCCTTCACATTGAGATGCAAAACCTGATTTCATCAAGCAGAATCCAGAATCCAAGTCAACGGCAATTAGCGGTGCGGACCAGACCCGGGAGCCCCATAGACTCGGCTGCGAGCCCATCACTACTCGCTCACCTCTTGGGCTCACGTCAAGCCCTGACTGAGGCACGAAGTTTTCGAAACGGAGGGGCATGACTTTCGTCATCGTACCTCAACCGACAGCCCAAGCTGGGGGCTGGAGTAGACCAACCTGTTCATCTCCACAGTGGGACTGGCGGTGGTCCTACGAATATCCCCAGTGAGTGAGGCTGGCGACGAGCGGATGGGACATGGCCAGTTGTCGTGGTGGAGTCCGGGCCAGGCCACTAGCACTTGTGCAAGGAAAAGGACACAGCCCTCTAGATCCCCCCCTGGATCCCCTCATCACATCGACCGGGGCAAGGAAATGCGCTGCGCTGAAAATCCTGCGGTGGGTCCCCCGGCGTCTCCACTCTCACCGGGGGAGAGAGCACACCGCATGAAACACTGTCAGGGAAACTGGGGGAGGCAAACACCGCCATGGGGATCACCGGGCCACAGCATCGAGTTGGGGGAGAAAACCCAAGCGTCGTCCGATCTCCCATGCATGAGTGCCACATGCAGTGAGCGCGTACCCGCAAAAGGGGCCGTTAACATAATGGGCAATACCACTTTGCAAAAGCCCATGCCGGTTTGCCGTTTCTGCGTTCCCCTGGCGGATGGCCTTTACGTTGGGGATTGCTGAGATTGCAAGGTTGTCGTATGTAAAGCATGCCCCGGACTTGGCTTTGTCCCATCTTCTAGAATCTCGGGAGTGCCGACGCCTACTGGGCAACCGTCCAACAACTTTTCCGGAGGCAGCTTTTGCCTCGATTATACGGGAAAATCGAAGTAAAACCCTCGTTATGCTATTCAAGGCTTTTTTTTCAAAGTGGATGTATACCGGGTCCCGCTCAACAAACCAAAAATCTGGTCCCACCGGGCCAGCATGGCACTGGTGCAGACGGTATCAGCCGGTGGTGGGCTCAAGTCGGGTTTGCAAGGAGGATTTGCAGCTGGCCCGGGATGTGCGAAAAAAGGAAAGGAGGAGAAGGAAGGAAATCGATCGACCGGGACGTGAGGAGGGGAAGCATATCGGCTGTTAGGCACACCGTCGATCGATTATGGTCCCTTAACTATAATAAAACGAACTACAGTACAATGGCTATTCCTACGGTTAATACTTGGGATAATGTCGCCAGGGGCAACACAGCAGCCAGCAGGCCACGAAAACCACAGCCAACTGGCGTTTATATGTCCCCGAGCCAGCCACCCCAAGGACAAACAACTAAAAACCAAGGAAGTTCCGGCAGTGTGGACGTATAACACGTGCGAATCCTCGTTGCAGGAAAAACACTTTGTGTGTGTTGCAGTTAGGGGTTGTAGTTTAAGGGGAAAGGTATATCCCCTTAAGTATTGTTAACATGCCGACCCCCAAGATACGGTGGATAAAGGAAAATGTACGTTAACAGTAGTTTATTAGAATACGGCAGATGCACGGATACAGTTCAGCATCGATACAAGGCACGTTACCAAATCCTATTGCGCCTTCCGGGTATTTGCGACATACCAGGCGATTATTTGGCCGAAATGTCGGTGGCATAAGCTACTTCAGAAGTGAGGCGAAACCGTCCCCCTCTTGATACGGTTGGCCAGCAAACGTCCGCCTCCGGGGCGTAACCCGGCGTGGGGCTCCCAACGGCCGGCACACCTGAGGCCGGACAGACAACTTGCTGCGGGGGGTGGGTGGGTGAACGACAGCAAACATGGCGTGGCGCGCGGCGTGTGGCGTGCCGACGATGCGGGGTGAGTGCAAAACACAAACCCTACGGGGGTGACCTTTTGAACTACGGGCAAGCACCGACGAGAACAAAGGAGAAAAGCGTCTGATATGGAACGGGGAGAGAGGGGAAGGGAGGAATAGCCTCACGC